CCCCCCCCTCCCCCACACACACCTCTTTGTTTTTCCTTCCATCCATCCTCCGTCAGTGTTTCTGCTGTCATCACCTTCTGTGACCTCGGGTTAAAAAAAAACAAAAAACGTCACGAGCTGGAGGAAATCAACTGCTTCGTGCACCAGCTCGTGTTTTTCAGATTGTCCCTCCCTCTTGTCGTCCACAATAAAGATTTGATTCATGGTCCCCAGAGGACAGGACGATGGCGCTTTACTGTACGACTCCATACGTTCAGAATAACTTCTCAGCAAAAGGTTTCAGAGACCGAATGACACAAAACAGTTTATCGTTTATTCCTTATTCTGCCTTTTACGTAAGAAAAGAGAAACGTACGATGTAACAACACTACCAGCATATTTCCATGCGTTCTGTTTGTGGGCCTACACTAGAGGGCAGCGCAGAGTTGAGTTTAACAAACAGTCGAAGTTGTGATAATGGTCGTCATGTGATTAATGTCAAGTAAAAGAAATATGGAGAACATCAACACTTATTTCTGTCTGTGGCCATCAGTGGGTTAATCGAGCCCCTTGAACCAACTCACCAATGAAGATGGACGATGCATCTCCTCTTCCTCCCGATATCCAGAAATGAGACTAAAACACTGTGGATACGAATGCCACCATTTTGTGATCGGGAGATGGAGCTGCGAGAGCAACGTCCCGAATAACACTCCTCGTAAAAAGTCTCCACGTCTGTTCAGTTGATGAATGGTTGTTGTAAAAAGTTCACGTCTGACTTTATAATGTGAACACAGTTATAAACCCCGTGTTTATTAAGGCCGTAAACTCAAACTGAACTCTGTCATGGTCGTTAAATCTTCAGCTTATTGTTGGTCGGACTGTCGTTGGGAATTTAACGTTCACCCCAATGATTTTTCCCCAAAATCAAAAATTCAAGCCACTTTGTGTTTGAGCCGTTGAGTCTGACGCTCGAGGATTCATTCACGTGTTTCCTCTCATCTGTCATTCAGCGTCCCCTCCTCTCAGTCTTTTCCTTTTTTTACAGTCTCCTCTCATCCGTCTCTTCTTGTTATTGAACGCGATCTGATCCCTCCACCCTCCTCTTCTCATTGTCAGAAGCCCCTGTGAGGTGGCGAAGGAGACCCCTAAAATAGCCTGGAAATCGAATCTCGTGAAACCAGAGCTTGGTCGCGGCTTCCAGCCACAGCTCTCGTCCTGGTTTGTCCTCAGCCTGCCGCCCTCTGCTCCTCCGTCATTACATTCTGTTAGCGTCACTCAGCCAGAGATGAGACTTCCCACAGCACCCTCTAGTGGATTTTCCCTGTAGGTGATGTATATATCAGATACAGGCCATAACTGAAGACCTGCATACGTCCAGTGTTACATCAAACATGAGGTTTCAGGTCTCTGGAAACAAGAAATTCTAACACTGACTCCATATAAGCACCGCCCATAGACGCTCTGGACCAATCGTGAGTCAGTCTCAGCTGTCAATCATGACGTCTCAGCCTGTTTTGATATCATCAAATAACGAATTAAAACCAAACGACCTGAAATGACAAAAATGTTTATTTAACATCTCCTCTGTTTTTTTTTAGTTTGGGCCATGTGCAATCTGCCAACATGGAGGAGGTGGGGTTAATAATTTATACTGCAGCCAGCCACCAGGGGGCGATAGAGATGATGGAGAGCTGTTATGTCACTTCTTTCATAAATCAAGTTTGAACAAATTGACATCACTTTGTTCGACGATATTGGATTTTACTGATGAGTGAGCGCCCTCTGCTGGACCAAGAGGCAGACTGTATATTTTGAATTTGAAGGTCATCACAGGTCGTGTGAACGAGAGTTTGAATTGTGAATAAAAAGCGACGGCTACTGTCGCATCTTCATTCAACGCTGATTGTCATCACAAGATTTTCTCTGTGTGAATCAGAGAAATCCCAGAAGTCGTTCAGTCTGCTTGTGAATCATGTAACATGTGAGCCATGTGCTGGAGCGTGTCTCTTCCTGTCTCCTCCCCGAGCTGAACCTCCCCTGGTCGTTTCCAGGATCGCTGCCAGTTCTAAGTCCAACTGGAAACACATTTGAAACTCATTTCGTTTGCTCCCTCGTTCGCCTGAAACCAAAGAACCGTTCCTCACTGCGGAAGACGCGGAGAATAATTTTCATCATGAGGACTTGATGCTGTCCCACAATGTGACTGTGAACAGATTAATGTCCCCACAACACGAGTAACACCTGGAACCCACTCTGAAGCTCTGACGTGTTCGTGCCTCCCATGATGTGTGATAAAAGCGCACAGATGTTATAATGAGGTTTGTCAGCTTCCTCTAATCTGTGATTTATAATCTACGGCCAGGAGGAACCTGGTGATACTGGTTACTAGGCAACAGGTTCCAGCTGCCAGGATGAGAGGGACGACCTGTCGCTGTTGTGTTTGTTAGAGACTTCAGCTCTGTTTGCTCGGTTGGTAATGTTTGCTCTTAAAAAATAAATGAATTAAACACGCTGAATACATAAATGAAGGTAATGGGTTCACCACTAGGGGAGCTGTGGAGCAGTTTTGTAGAGGCGTCAGATTCCTGAGAGGAAAATCCGAAAATGAAACGATCAAACTGTTTATCAGACGTAGACGTGGAGTTAGTTTGTCCTGAGAAGCAGCAGATCGTCGACTCGTTCACAACAACAGGAACATGTGGGGACATTCAGGTGGGGGGCGGAGCCTGTAGAGCAGCAGGAGGCGGGACATGACGTCTAAACTCCGCTGTGTAAAGATCAGTGTTGTTGTTTACAGCTCGTCCACACGGCGTCGGCCCTCATCACCAAAACATCTGGAACCTCCTCGTCTTTCCAAGTGGACGTCTTCGTCTTCTACGTGTGCGGCTCCTCTTCTTCATCCTGAGAGTCGGGGTCTCTCTCAATGTCACGCTCGCTCCTTTGCTTCTAAAGTCAAGGATGATAATTTACCGTCACAGGACGGATGCTGTCGTTTTTTCCCATCAGGACTTTGTCTGTGCATTAAAATCTGAGCGGCGCTGAAGCTGCAGAAACAACAGATCTGCGGTGACACAGTGTCTGTCCATTAGTTAATGGAGCGGAAACGTCAGCGAGAGGAAGCTGTAATCTGATCTCCCTCCCGCTGCTGCTCGTGGTTTTTACATTCAGCCTCTCTCCCCCTGCCCATGACCGATTCGTCATGGATATTATCTCAGACGATATCTCATTACTCTGCCCCCCCGCCTCTCTCTTACTCATTCATTCCTTCTCCTTCACACACATTCATTCTCTCTCTATATATCTATTTCTTTTTTTCCAGGGCTGTGGCCTCTTACCCTCTTTTAAATATTTATATGAATGAATCATTTCCTGGGTGGACGCAGCAGCTTCAGACAGAGAAGGTGAAATGAATCTTCCACAGACACGTGGTTCAAATCTTAATTTCCTTAGAAAACAGTGATAAAATGAATTCTGATTTCAAATAAGTAGAAATAAAATGACCTCTTGCAGTTTCCTCCCTCCAGTGAAGTCTCTTACATAGATTTCCAGACTCATATGAGGTCAGTGTGACCTTTGACCTCTGTAAACTAATCATTTCATCTTTGAGTCCAAGCAGCCGCAGGTCAAAATGTGAAGAAATTCCCCGATGACAGATTTGAGATTCATGTTTGACTTTATTCACTTTCTGATTTCACACGTTTAATTTTTCTTTATTTTTCAAATATCATATTTTAAAGAATGACACACGCACACAGACAAACACACTGATTCCTGGAAAGCTCTTCCTCTCTTACCAGGAACAAATAAAACGTGTGTGTGTGTGTGTGTGTGTGTGTGTGTGGCGCTCTCTCCACCATAAACGCACAATTAGGTGCGAGGTTATAAAACCTTGTTTGTTTGAATGTAATAACCACTGTGTTGCCATGGCGATCAGTCGTCTGGTTCTATACGTCTTCGCACTCACGCAAACTACTAATTGGCTTTCATTAACCTCTGATGGATATTTCATTGTTCCCTCCATGGGGGGGGGTTCAGTTCTCAAGTGTGAAATGTCAGCGACTGTATAAAATCATGCTCGACTGTCTGTGCTCGATAGGTGTGACAGGACTGGTCCACCTGGACGAGAACGGAGACAGAGAGACGGACTTTGCTCTGTGGGACATGATTGACACCAACACCAGCATGTTCCAGGTGAACACACACACACACACACACACACACACACACACACACACACTCTTGTTAATTTCATTTCTTTAGATTTGATACAAACAATGAGTTTGACTGATTTGATTCGAGAGGTCAAAGGTCAAACATGTTTTTACGCCAAAACTCCATCGTTTACGTATTAACAGAGACGTGTTCCGTTCATATTCATTATGAGGATTTTATTTGTATTATTACTGTAAAATGTTTAAATGCTCTAAAACACATCAGTGTCCTCACACTGTCCATCGCTGCAGCTCCTCTTTTCAGCCTCTGTCTCAAACACTTGGTTTTAGCTCCTGTCTCTTTAAGACCCCCCCCCTCCTTATAAAGCCCAGCTCTGCTCTGATTGGTCAACTGCCTCGAGCGCTTGCAGCAAACGTCGGCCTCTGTTCAACGAGCTTATAGGTTTGTTTTCTTCTGCTTGGTGGGTGTGTCAGACGTGTTGTCCAATCAGCAGCTGCTGGTTGGCGTCAACATCAGTTTGTCAAAAAGTAAAACAGGATTCAAACCTCATCACAATAAAAAACTGATTTTGGCTCAAACTGAAGATTCACTCGCCTCCTGAGCTTCCGTACAAACCACGAACACACACACTGATCTGGGTTCTGTTGGTTCCAGATAGTTTTGGTGTATAACAGTTCGGAGGAGCAGCTGACAGCCATACCTGGAACAACGCTGCACTGGCTGGGCGGAGCTTGTCCTCCTGATGTTCCCGTCTGCGGTTTCAAGAACGACAACCCCGTCTGCATCGCTAGTCAGTAACGTCATCGTTTCATTTCTTTTTACTTCAGTTGTGTTGAAGCTTTGAAGAAAACGGGGAATGTTGTGTCTGAGGTTTTTAAACAGCTTCTTCTTCTTCTTCGTCAGAAACGGTCACAATCACCCAGATGGTTTCCATCGTGCTCTTCTTCATCTTCACCATGAGCCTCACCATCGCTGTCTTCATCTACAGGTGAGAGCTGCTTGTCTACGCCACCAGGGGTCACTCACTCAGCGTGTTGCATTAACGTGAGAAAGAAAAGTTCTGTGGTGGATGATATCTCGTGACTTCAGAAAACAGGACAGATTTATTTTCCTCTGGTGATGCAACACGCTTCTGTGCTGCAGGAGGATGAAACTGGAGAAGGAGCTGGTGGCTCAGCTCTGGAGAATCACCTGGGACAACATCCAGATGAGCAACATGGACAAAGTGCTGCGCAGCGGCAGCAGGATCACACTGTCACTGGTCAGCACACACACACACACACACACACACACTCTCACAGACACACACACACACACACACACACACACACACACTGATGCTGTGTGTGTCTGCAGAGAGGATCTAACTACGGCTCCCTGATGACGGCAGATGGAAACATGCAGGTGTTTGCAAAGACTGGTTACTACAAGGTCAGTGTGTGTGTGTGTGTGTGTGTGTGTGTGAGACGTTTCCTTCTTCTCTCTGTCAGCAGGAACAGATTTAATTTACCTGTCGGACAAATGCAGGTTTGTTTTCACACTTGATTTCAGCACCGAGCTGCAGAGAGAATCTAGAAGAGGGAAATTCAAAGTGTGAGCTGTGGGTTTGACGCTCAGAGGTTCTTGTCTTTTTCAGGGAAACATCATCGCCATCAAATACACGAACAGGAAACGCATCGAGCTGAACAGGACGGTTCTGTTTGAACTCAAACATGTGAGTGTTTCACTTTCACGTAACTGTGGACCTGTCTGTGTCTGAGATGAAGAGGTTCGTTGTTGTTGTTGTTTAGATGCGCGACGTTCAGAACGAGCATCTAACCAGGTTCATCGGAGCGTGCATCGACCCGCCCAACCTCTGTATCATCACAGAGTACTGTCCCCGAGGGAGTCTGCAGGTACCTGTCTCTCTCTCTCTA